CAAATTCGCACATTAAATTATCAACCATACCAGTTAAAAGTGTTATTTGTGTGATACTATTCTTTCATTTTCATGTTGTGTATGCCACTTTATCTCTCCTATGTTAAGATGAGTTTCCTACCTTAAGCTCAACCATGACTACAATTAGTAGCTCAACTATAACATCTTGAAGAATTTAACCCCTAATTAATTAAGTAAATAAGGTTAATTAAGTAAATTAATATGGTGTGCGGTTATAAAGAGTTTATGGGTGTTTTTTATTGTGATTTTAGCCCTAAAATTAAATACAAAACAAAGTCAGGTCACCCAAACATTAAAAAGTTGAGAAATACAAAGAGGAATGGCTCTATGCTATATGCCATGGCACATCTATGGCATGTTGCGACACTACTGTGATGGGTGCATGGCATGCCATGATACATGGGTCATAAAAGTACAAAGATCCTTTCTTTATAGCACATGTCGTGGCACATGGTATAAGCACCGCAATGCATGATGATGAATCTGCAGAAATAAGAGTGTATCAGAGTTTAAGAAACATAAAAAGAGGGAGAAAAACGAAAAAAACGCAAGGAGCTCATGAAAACCTCTACTAGGGCTTGGGATTTAGGGGAATTAGGAGTATTTTAAAGCTTCCAAACATAAAAAGTAAGACTCCTAAGCTCTTTCCCTCTTTTCCTCTTACATTTTCTTGAATTTAAAAGTTGGGGTTTAGTTGAGAAAGATAATTTTTAGTTTATAAAGGCTATGGGTTCAAACCCATTAACTTAAATAGAGTTAATGAGAAGTGTATAGGTTATTTAAACCTAACATTATGGACCTTTGTGTTTTTAGTAGTTGAGAGCCATAAATGCACGAAAATCTTCCATAAATGAGGTAGATGGAGTAATGTGACTCCATTAATAATTGTTTAAAAGTTCAATAAAGTTAACAAAAGTTAGACAAAGCTAACAAACCCTATAGATATCTTGGTATATGAAGAGATTGAATTTTAGGAGTCTAAAAGTGTTGAACTAAATGATGAAAACTTTTCAAAAAGGGATATTGATTATCAATACTATAGTTGAATGTAAAGTGAGCACATTTGGCACTATTCAGGCTTCATTAAAGCTTTATAAGTGAATAGTTGAGAGGTAAACCTTTAACTTCTTAAAGGGTTGAGATAACTGGAAGAAATCTTTCTTGTGCTTTTGTGTGTTAATTAATTTATTGATTTAAATATTATAATTAAGATGTGTGAAATTATTTAAATACAAGTGTGGCACAAATTATTTGAAAAATCAAATGTCATGAATTATGGAGTTTAATGATATAATTTATGTAGAGTTCTATGAAATAATGTTTGTGGAGTTTAATGATGTGATTGTGTGGAGTTCTATGAAACAATGTTTTTGGATTTCAATATATGTATAATATGTGGAGTTCAATAAATGTTTATAAGTAAAGTTCAATGAGAGGTTGTTTTTGTAGAGTTTAATTATGTATTATGATATGGAGTTCAATGAAGTGTTGTTATGTGTCTAAATGATCATCAAATGTGATGTGAGTAAAATAATAATGTTCACTATGCCTGAATACTGAATATTTCGCATGCTAAGGAATATTTCATTTTATACATTGCAAGATCATAATAGGCAAGAATTTACCTAAGAAGAGGAGCAATGAGTTGAAAATCCACGTGGTAAGGCTTCCAATAGAGCTCAATAGTCTGCTTGGATTTGTTTATACTTATCATCTCACTTATTCGATAAGGGACTATCCCATGTTCTATGGGGGACTCGAACCTAACTAGTTTTTTCACTTGTTTAATGAGAAAGCTAGATTAGGGAGAATGATATCCTACAATGTGAGATTTGGGGTGAATCGTGACTTACAAGTAAGTTAGGCAACCTTAGCCAAGTAGTCCCTCACACATGAATGGCTAAGGTAGTCTCATCTCAAAGACAATCCTAGTGTGCTATAACCCATGATTTTATGTCAGAGGCATAAGGAGGATATAAGAAAGGTATGATCATACACATTATCATATAGTGATAAACAAGACACATGGTTGTTTGCATTATGATCCTCGTGATGAAAATATGTGATCAGTGTTATAATAATATGAAAATGAGATATTGCATTGTTAGTCTATGATTATATGCATGTAATGATCACTACTAGAAAAATTGAATTTAGCGAGGGACCCTCGCTAAATGCCATTTTTCGTAGCTAAATTGCATTTTAGCTACGAATTTTGTCCCTTGCTAAATTCGTAGCTAAAAAAGGGCTCGCTAAATTTAGCGAGAAATTGTATTTTTTTTAGCTACGAATTTAGTGAGGAATTGTATTTTCTCACTAATTAGCAAGGGATTTAGCGAGGGATTTAATCCCTCGCTAAAATTGGCTAGGGACTGAGTCCCTCGCTAATCCCTCACTAAATATGTTTATATTTAAAAATAATTATGCCACATCATCCGCCATGTGTGATGTCAACTTGTGACATGTTATCAACAACCTCATGCTTTATCAACCACCATGTCACCTACCATCTCGTGCCCTATCACCCACTACATGTGCGACAACTCATGACACATCATTGTCTACCTTGCGCCATGTCACTTACTCCTTATCATATCATATATTCATCATGTTTATGTCAAAGCTAAGGTTTGAACCCTTGACCTCATACCTTCCAAGCTTTATGCTCTCCTTCTTTGCCAGTTGAACTGAAAGGCACCTTTAAGCATTATATGATAAATTAAATATATATATTATATTTAACTACATAAATATATCAAATAATATATTATAACAATACACACATATACATATTAAATTTTATTTTTAATTATTAATATGTTAAAAATATTTATATTTTATTTAAATTATTCTTTATATTATATTTTTAATAAAATATTATTTTATTAATGAAAATCAACTTAAAATAAAGAAAATATTAAATAATTTTATTATAAATATTTTAGTTAATTTTTAAATTTAATTATTATTTTTAAATGAAAATAATTAAATGTATAATTAAAAGTCATTGTTAAAAGGTAATTTTTTTGTAGTAATTAGCTAGGGATAGAATTCCTCGCTAAATCCCTCACTAGTTATCTTATTTTAGAGAGGGATTGACAGTCCCTCACTATTTTCCTTGCTAATTCTCTTATTTTAGAGAAGGATTGACAATCCCTCACTAATTTCCTCGCTAATTTTAAGTCAAGCTACGAAATCAACACCCCTTGCTAATTTCCTCGCTAACTTGTGTATTTTAGAGAGGAATAAATCCCTCACTAAATTTTCTCGCTAATTTGCATTTTTCTAGTAGTGGATGTAAAGTGCAAAAATGTGCTTGAACACATTAAATTGACTTATGAATGATGATAATACCCCCTTACATTTAGATTAATTAACATGTATTAGTATGAATTAAATAAATATTGGTTATTGAGTGGTTGTACTCACCCTTTTCTCTTCAATATTATAAGAGCTAGATCACAGGATAAGATCGAGAAAAACAATTCGAGGCATAGGATTATCATCCTATCTATAGGCCATATTTTCATTTTGATTATTATGCGTATAATTATGTGATATTGCCAACTAAGAAAATACATGTTATTGGTTTACTTGCACTATTATATTGTTGAATTGAATTGTGTATTTTGGGCCCTATGATGTATATAAATTGATTATGAAATCTAAAACACGGCTAAAATACTAGTGCAAAGAGAAAATGAGTAAAATTGTGATTATTGTGGAATGATATGATGATTTGTGAACTTAGGGCTCCCTTTTTTATTTTTGTGATTAAATGGTTGAGTATTGAAAATGTATTTAATTTGTTAAATTTTTAATGTGGTATATTGCACAAGTTGATTATGGTTTATTGAGTGTGGTCTAGCTTGTAAGTTAGGCTCTTTGCACTTGAAATGTAAATTTGACACTCAAATTGTGTAATAAGATTGAAAGAAGTAAGTTTTGAAATGGGTGTCCAACTTTTGTTTAAAAAATGTTTTGATTGTAAAATTAGTGCTATTAACTAGAGTTGGGAGAAAGCTCTCTATAGACACCTAGATCACCTCAATCAAACATCAAACAAATTAATGATGTATGTCAGAAATTTGCTCCAGTTGTTGTCAATGACAGCAACAATACTGTCAAAATTGTGTAATGCGTCACAATACATGACATAGAGACAAACGTATTGTAGTGCACATATGCTTTTCTGCACTATTTTTAGTTTTTATGTAAATGTTTGACTTTTTTTAGATTTCCATACTTCTGCATACTATTTAAACTCTAATTTGGTTTTGTAAAAATATTTTGACATATTAAAAAATCTTTGAAAACTTGAGATCATATCTTATAAATTTTACAAACTTGATAATCCTATTTGGATTAAACCCTTGATTATATTAATTTTAGAGTTAATTAAAGATTAGTAAGGAAGGCATTAAATTGACGGCATCATGCTCTTTAAAAATATGTGATACCTTACGGTGTTATATATCTCAATTGTCCCCATTTAACTTGTCACGCCTCAAAATCAGAGGGTAACCGACATGGGATGGGAACTATATCATACATCCCTCAAGCCTTAGATTGAGAAATCTTTTCATTTGTAAAACATTGTTAAATTTATATTGAAAATTATAACATTAAAAAAAATCATTTTAATAAAAGTTTCAATACTTTTGTGAAAATTTCGACAGAACTTTCCTTATACATAGAATCTTTCAAAATTTTACAATACAATAATTTACATAAAAATATGATATCATTTAAGAGCTTGGCTTCTTGCAGCCAGCAAAAAACATATATCAAAATGTAAACCTAGCTATAAGCTACGTGGAGCATCTAACCTTACTTTTAAAATAAAATATCAATTCAAGTATTTACAATAATAATAATAATAATAATGCTAGGCAAAATTCCACTCAAACTAGTTATATACCCTTCAGAGGTTAGCAGTGGGACCAGCGACAACTAATAAATCTGTGACCAAAATAAATTTCCAGTGAATAACGTCTCAACAATAAATAATAGAACATGAATAAAATGAAAAGTTTGAAATAGTTATGTAAGTTAAATAGATAAAATTTTTGTAAAAATTTTATAAACTTCATAATAAAATGGCTTTATAAATTTCAAATAAAATCTCAAATCATTAGACTATCATATTCAAGAAAGCACATAAATGAAATAAATATTTATAAACAATTTACAAAATAAAAACCAATAGAATATGAAACCATCAAACGATTGGATTCATAAATATAGGGACTTATCAGAATAATTAACAAATGTGGACACATAATCCACGAGGGTAACTAACCAAACGCGGCTTATGCCATAAAAACAAACATGGACACTTAGTCCACGAGGGTAAGTAACCAAACGCGGCCAAAGCCACGAAACAAACGTGGACACACAGTTCACGAGGATAACGCTAATCAAACGCGGCTTGAAGCCACGAAACAAACGTGAGTATGATGCTCACGAATAACCATCCCTCCATTCCACATGTGTTGGCCATCGCACTGGGCTAACACCTCCTATAAACACCCTGCTAGCTAGATGTACCATGGCGCGCCAAGGGCTAACGGAATTGCCGTTAGCAACCAGTGTTCCGTATAAAATCCCCTTTTTTTAAAAAACCATTTTCAAACATGCGAGAAAATCATCACTTCCAAGATACAGTTCTCATTCTTAAAATCAAACTCACATGAATACTTTTAAGCATTAAAACTTACCAGAATCAATTTTCATATCCAATGCTCATGCTTGCATTTATTGAATAATCAAAAATTTCAAAGTCGAACTCGCATGAATCATTCTCTGTATCAATCCAATATTTAATAAAATAAAAATCTCATAATTAAAGTCTAAACTTAATTTAATTGACCAAATAACATTTCAAATTTGATAAAGCTAATTTCTCAAAATAAAGTAATGTTAATCAACAAATATCCAATAATCACATTAATGCTATTAAAATGATTTCCAGAAAAATGTAATATTTTAACAAAGGAAATTTTAATTGAAAAGGAGAAAAAAAAATTAGTTGGGACGCTATCTACTTACTTGAAATTTCTCCAGAAGTCAAATTTCTCCTCTCAACTTTAATCAAACTTCTTCTCTTCCAAACACCTTATAAATCATATTAAGATTTTATTCAACTCTTAGCCAATATAATAATTCCATTTCAACAGTCTAATCGATAATCCACTATAATACATTTGAAACTTCAAAACCAAAGCTTTGTTTAAAAGATATTCATCATTAGCAATTTGTCAAGATATTAAATACATCCTTTTCAATCCCCTCATAAAAAGAAATAAAAAAAAACTCTGGCATTTAAATATTTTCTCAACAAACTATCGATCTCCAAGCACTCTAGTAAGCACATATTATTAATTTCATAGTCAAATGTCCTTTGCAACTTTCAAGTCAATTTATAGATTAACAACATCTAAGCTAACTCAACTTTCTACAAGAATCAATGAAATTTCAAAATCAGGTTCAATTCTCCTAACAAGCATTTTAACAAACATCTCATAAGCACTAATCTCCAAGTGTCCTATTTAAGCTCTTCTCTTCCACTTTTATTTTAACAATTACTTCAACACCAGCCATTCCAAACACATTACTCTTATCGTAATCATTTACACAACATCTTGGAAGCACCCACAAATAATTCTTATAATGACATTGTATCAATCTATACAATAGTATTCCATTTAGCCTTGAAACCAACAACCCAACACCATCAAGAAAATGCATTATAATAGCACCATACACCACAACTCATTCATTTAAAATTTTTCTCATGTCTAAATAAATAAATTTCAGGTATTTCTTTCAAGCAAATTTCCATATCCAAGCCTAGAATAATTAAAATTCTCAATTCACATTTCCAATCAGCACCTAACAATAGGAAAATAATTGATTTTATTTTATCAATGTCATCCACATTCCCTAAACTCTCGGCCAAATAGCAGAAAGAAAGAAACCAAAGTTCAGATCTCATACCCTTTCAAGGATGAGCACGCCAAAAGCTAGAGGAAGAAGAGATACAATATGAAACTTATCTAAACATGAGTCTCCACCACCACCTTGCACCCACAGCCAGCAAAATCATAGTATAAGAAGGAAGCAAGATAGAGCCGACTTTGAAAAAAATGATGAGGACCAAAACACTATACAGCTCAACACTCCCTACGGCTGACCGAAAAATTAAGGGGTTCGAAGATTTCAACTTAGCAACCGACAACAATGAAATAAAAGAAGAACAAGAAATCTGCATCATTCACGGATGGCAGAATATTTCTTTTCTCTTTCCTCTCTATTTTTTTTAGTTTACTTCACCGTTCCCATCCAACACTACACGCACATAGCAATAGAAAGAGAGTGAAGTTTCTCACCTTAGGCAGCCGATCACAAACGCACAGGGAAGCGCAGAACAGAATCTACGACTGAAGAGGGGAAGAAGAAGACAGCACAATTCCAACCTCCAACCCACAAAATTAGTTCTCTTACAACCTCAAATCAGCTATTTACTTGCTTCATCATCAACAAACAGAAGAGTGGGGGAAGAAATATGGTCAAGAACAAGAAACAAAGCAGACATGGGCTGGAAAACAGTGAACCAGTAACAGAAAACGCACAGCATCTCAGCTCTCTCATCAGCGATGGCAAAGAGTGAAGGAAGAAGAGAAGAAATTGGAGATGGCAGAGGAACGGAGACCAGATCGCATGAGTTCCAGAACATTCTCTCCCCCCCCTCTGTCAAATCGAGGCGAAAATAAGGAAGGGAAGAAAGAAAAAATAAATCTGATATGGGAAGGGTATATTGGTAATTTCGTAAAACTAAAGTCATAAAAACCAACTCCCTTTTTGTTTCAGCAGATTCAAACTCTGGATCAAGTGGATGGCTTATACATGCACTTCCACTATGCCAACACCCATTGTTGTCAAAATTGTACACTCTAAACAAATTATTATGTGTTTATTTTTATTTTATTTATCTAAGTCATTACATAACTTTTTGCCTTTATTCAGTTTAGTGATAATGTTTTTTATTGCCATTCTTAGTTCTAATAAAAAATAATCCCATATTAATAGTTTTCCATATTAGATCAAGAATAAAATACTTATTAGGAATATACAATGTCTTATATTTGTATCATTCTTTATTAGAGTAATAACAACACTCTTAAGTCAACGATCAAGAGGTTACGTTTATATCTTCCATCACATTAATTTTAATAAAATCACTACCATCTATAAAGAATTTTACAAATATTTTTATAATCACTATGCTTGTTTTTAAATGACTCATCACTTAAGAGCTCCCATTTAAATGAAGTATATATAAAGAAATAAAAATCAATCATCATAAAAAGTAACATGCTTCATACATAATAAATCAAAAGTCTTAAAAAACAAGATAACATGACAAAACACAAAGTCTAAAAAGAACATAAAGATATATTATGTTTTTCGAGGTACAAACCTAAAAAGACAATACTCAATTATATCTTTATATTTATTTACACTTTCATCCTTCTGATAGCTCTATTCCATAGAGAATTTCATAAATATGACTTGTTTTGCTTTTTACATTGCATGAGTTCTTTCCCAAGTTATTTGAAATTTTTTTCCACAACCAAAGCTTCTTCTTCTTTAGTTATGAAGCTTGAATATTTTCTTACGATTAGAGAAATGTGATCTATCTTTTTAATTCATTTAGCATCTCTCTTAGTTATATTTTTTATTACTGAGGGTGTGAAAGGTTGTTCCACAGCTTCATCTTTGTTTTGACATTCTTAGCACTATTTAATTCGTATTTTGGTACTAATATCATGCGCACCTCTTTGGGCCTTTTTAACACATCTTCAAGATTGACATTAGGATTCTCTTCAGGATTAGAATCCTCGCTTTGAGGTTTATACTTCTCCTCCTTTTCAAAGGGTTATAGGTTGGAATACTCACTAAGATGCTCATAATCTAACTCATCTAGATATTTAATGCTAACGGAATAATTTTCTAAGTTATAAGTGCTGATAGAAGCCTCTTGCTTTATATTTTCATTAAAAAATTTAGGAATTTTCAAGTGATTAAACTTATAAAAAATGCACTAAATTGCACAAAAATAAATTTCAATTTTTCCTCAAACATAGGAAAATAGCATATCAAAATGAAGATCTTGAATTTAGAGATTTTTTAAGATAAATTGTGTCTCAATCGAAGCTCTCACGCAGCCTCACGTACCTTCAAAAGTTTATTGGTCAAGAAATTCTATAAAAAAACTAGACAAGCCCTACTCTTGAAGGTGGGGCATGCATGCCACGTGTTATCTTCCCATGTTTTAGTAGCAACACATGGTAGTCCATAGTACTCCATATGTCATCGGCTTTCACTTGGGGGCCTTCACATGCCTGTAGGGCCTTTTTGTGAGCCCCATGTGCCACATATCTCTATCTATTAATTTTTTTAAATTTGATTTTGTTGACTAGGTCGGGTCAAACCCGACCTAAAGAACCTCTAGATTGAGTCCTTTGACTCAATCCAAACCCTTTTTTTGTGAACCCAACTTGCAGGACCATGCTAAATTTTTTTAATAGGAATTAGGCTCATCAACCAAAGCAAAAATTTAATATGCAGTAGGCTCATCAACCTAATTTTGTTTTACTCCAATGACATGTCAAAACAACGTGTTGTTTTGAAGATGATAAAAATGACTCATTTCTATTGTCTTCAAGCTCTAGCCTAGTCCATTTGACTTGGTTCCTCTAACAGGTTAGGTTCGTCGGACTTGAATCTTTTGCAGGTTGTATCTCTTTTGTTTAATCTCCATTTCATGCATTCTTGGTGTCGTTCTTTTTTGTTTTTTTTAAGCTCTATACGTTTATACCATTTTCAAACACCCATTTTTTTTATTTGTTTGCAACTAAAGGTTTTAGCACTGTCTATTGCATATAGAACACATAGGCAGCATGCACGGCCATATATAATTCATATCAACCAATACGCATCTAAACATGTTCATTTGACTAGAATAAGATGAAAAATAGATAGAGGCAAGAACGGAGATGTGAAAAAAAGGATCAAATAGATTTGCACGCATATTGGAATAAGCAAATCATAATATCATCATCATACACAGAAAGTGTAGCCTGGGTGCAAGTATTTCTCTTATACAAATAACAGATTCTAAAGGAGGAAACTTGCTTAAGATGATGTGCCATATGAATTGTCGTATTTGGGAACAGAGTTAAGTGGCCGAAATCGGTTCTTGGTTCTCACAGCAAATACACTCGAGGAAAAATGAAAGGGAGAAAATGTAGAGCTTGAAGGGAGTCTATGTTGTCACTCACTTCAAAAAAAAAAAAATGAATTGATGCTTCCCATATAGCATCTAACCTCCATGCACTTACTCCACATTTTGGATGTGCTTGAAGTGTAAAACTGTTCCCACCAAAAACTTCAAATTGGGAATGGGAATATTTGCATATAAGGGCCCAGATTTATTTCTCTTTTTGGCACAGACTTTTTATTTATTTCTAATAAAACTCACCACACTATTGGGCTTTGTTTTTATCTTTGATCTACCAAGGGTGGACAACCCAATAATACCCTGAAAACCAAGTCCAATCCTTAATATCTAAATTTAAGATTTTTTATTTTATTAATTTACTAATTTTTTCACATGTGATTCTTGCTTTTGCCCTTATTTTCACATCTCCAAACTTCTCATCACCATCCAACCCACAACCCTTCATTATATTATTTGACCATATTTTAAAGATAAAAGCATCCTTAAAATTAAAAGCCCTAATTATTTGTTTATCCATTGCTATCTAGGGGAGTAGGTGATAAATTAAAGTAAAATGAGGAAAAGTGTCATAGTGCTGTCTAGAATGTAGTTGGTAGATCTAATGAGCTAGGTTGATTATAACTTTTGCTATCAAGAAAAATATGTAATTATTAGAAGGAGAAATATAACTTTAAGTTTATGTACTTTGCTCGCATTTTACTATTAGTTTATATATTTTTTTAGTGTTTTTAGTCTCCGTGCTTTTATTTGTCATTATTTGAGGTCCTTTCATGAATAAAGTATAGAGACCTTGGAGGGATCTAAAACAATAAAAAATAAAAGTATAAGGACCAAAAACAAAAAAATATAGGAACCACTCGCAAAACACGAGTAAAATACATGGATATAAAGTTATATTTTTTCTTATTAAAACAATTTAAACTAATAAAAAGTAACTTTTCTAAAAATTTATTTACTTGCAAGACTTAATTAACATGCGTGTGTGGCACCCTTCCAAGCCACTAATGTCAAGGAGCACGAAAATTACTCAACCATGATGTGAGAACGGATTTTTATGCCTCAATAGGCTAGCGAATTCTCAAGGGCATTCCTGTATTTTCATCTCTGAGTTCTCTTTCAAAGGAAGGATATTTCCGTTTTTGGATTGTTTACATTAATTAGTTACAATATAGAAACTCTAGGCCCAGGCATATATATGTTTGTATATAGTGTTGGTTAAGTGACATATGTAGCATATTATTACTATGACAGTATATATACGTATATATAAAGAGTTTCAAGTAAATATAACGAAAAATTGGAGAAGAATTAACACCACCACCATGTTGAGAAAGAAATTTCCTCATTAACTCAAGACTCATACCACATGAAGAGTACATTTAAATACAAGAGAATGAAAATCACTCACTTTTCTAGTAAAGCATGTGTTTACTAGGGCGAAAAAGATTCCTAGAAAAGTAGGTCAAATAAACTATATCAGCCCAGAGTGGGAAAAGCAGAAACGCAAATAAGGGTACAGGTATAAAAGCAAGTGCAGAAATGAAGTCAGGAACCCACTTTAAACCATGATAATACATGATGAAAAAGGCACTGCTAAATGCTATCATCATGCTTATTATGGAGATGAACAAAGCAACCAATCCAGATATCAGCTTTAAGGGTAATGATTTGTGAAAATCATTTTCTGCATAACGTGAAATGAGGATGGACAAGAAAATAAGTATAGAAGCTGAGGATGAGATCATTGCAGTTGCATCAGATATGGCAAATATCAAGAATGATGGTTTCTGCAAGTAATTAGGGTTTCCTGAACTATCATTGATACCGCCCGGTATGCTGAATGCAGCTGTAAACACTCCAGTAGTAATAAGAGTGGAAACAAGCATGCATTGTTCTGCTGTTTTCTTCATCCATTCTTCAGCTTTGCCCAATAAATTTCCATGTTCCTGTGTGAATAATTGGCGAGGAGTCAAGCCTTTAGCATTCTTCTTCTCTATTAGTGATGGTAGCATTATCTTCTTCACCTCCTACCATATTGTCAAAGGATATATGTATGTTGTCAATATCAATATAAAATGTATAAAACTTATAACAAGCTACACAATTCACAACAGGCCATCCTTATAATAATAGATTAAATGTTTTTTTTATACCAATAAAATACCTCAAACCATAATAACTCAAAGGTCATTTGAAAAGCTGCTCCTGAGACCAAGTTTAATCGATGTGGCGGTGCTAATTTTGCAGCCATATGCAATAAGTTGCTTTTATCTTCTTCATCCTCAAAACACACTATGAAATCTTTGATGGGGCCGATATCATGGATGAGATTGAAGATATCAGCATAACGATACAAAACTGCAGCGTGAATTATGCTTCGATTTCTTTCATCAACTTCCCATATCAAGTCAGGATATGAGCTTATAAGCTCAGCGAGAAACTCAAAATTCCCAACTTCTACAGCATTAAATGTTACTTGTGAAGGTACTCTTATATTATCCATAATCATACTATCATCTTTCTTAAGGAATATACTCCACAAGTGTTTTACAAGTTCAAGTTGCTGAGTTTGCCTCAAACCTGGTAACATATGATTTGACAATCAAGATACCAAAAAAATTCAAAAACTTAAATAAAAAAATTTCATGTCTAATTGCATGTCACCACTCATTTTTGTGATCACGGACACTTACAGGACTTCATAAGCCGCTTTCGATATCTCTGACTTTTGCAACTAGAACCTAAAGGCTTTCGAGCCAATATATGCAAGACTGTCTCATTGTTTGATGCATCCCTCTCAAAAGCTAGTTCTGGGTTCTCCTCTAGCACCTTCAAGGCCAAATCTGCCCAAATTTAACACAACATATGCATCACACTTCAAATCTCACACTTGTCATTTTCAATAGTCTCATGCTCTGTGTATGTGATATTCTTACCATAGATTCCACTGTTGACACAAAGGAAGAGAAGTACGATCCAATCAATATATTCAAAAACTTGAATAGCTTTATTGCAGTACAGATACCATGCCATTTGACTTTGTCCCTGTAAAGCAGCCATGTGAAGAGGAGTGGTTCCTTGACCACCTCTTATTGTTGGCAAGCTCTCATTTCTTCTCTGCATGATCTCAACAATCTGCAAATTCCCAGTTGCTGCAGCGATGCAAAACGCAGTGTTCTCATTCACGTCTTGCAATTCCAAGTCTTGTGGATGCATTATCTTCACCAGCTCCTCCACAAAGTGAACATGGTTCTTTCCGGTGGCCACGTGGAGGATCGTCGCCCATCCCTTGGTTATGGCAGCACGAACGAGACTCCTGTCTTGATCTAAGATGTGCTTTGCTGCTTTCCAATCACCTTTCAAAGCTGCTTTGTGGAGGGGAACGCATAGCTTTTGGTATTTGGTTCTTCGCTCTTCTGAAACAAGTTTGGTATAAACATCGTGACATAGTTTGTAATATATATGAGAGATTTTATATATGGAGAGAGAGAGAGAGAGAGAGAGAGAGAGAGAGAGAGGGACAGAGAAAATACGTGTATCATCCACAAGATGAAGGAGAGGCCTCCTAAACTGACCCGAAGCGACTCTCCCAAGCTGTTGTGCGACTGGTGAAGTCAGGGAACTGTCATCTGCTACTGCCATTTCTCTGTGAATCAAACACAATATGGGTTCAATAATTAGTTTGCTTTCAATATATACGAGTCTTATGGATTTATTCTAAATTATAAATTAAAATTGCTATAAATAAAGCATTTTAAAATTCATAAGGTTTAAATTTATTTATTAAAATAAAAACATTTTAAAAATAAAAATATTTAAAAATAATAATATTTTCAGGATAAAGGATGTTCCATTAAAATAATTTTAGCAATGAGCAATATTTAAATCTAATTTCAACTAACATGTTTGTGTGGGGTTGTGTATTGAATATATATTTAATTAACATATACACGTATGCTCCGTGTGATGCATGACGTAAGCAGGCAGCCTCAAGCTGATGTAATGTAATAGAAAAAGCTTTCGGCGTGCTCTATAAATTAATATCTTTTTTTTTTGCCAACTATAAAATTAATATCTAATTTAAAAGAATATATATAATATTTATATTTATAGCAAATGGAATAAACTATTTAAAAAGGAAATACTCCTTCCACTCCCTGGTCAGATTTATTATCCCTAAATAAAAACAAGTATTAAATGACATTACATTATTACCTTATAATTTAAATAATTATTTAATATTAAAGAAACCATATGTGTATAAGAGAGGAAAAATATGCAAATGATTTAAATTCAAAGTTCAAGAGAAGAGGAGAAATTAACGAGCCAGTGCTGTCCACACATACTGATTTAGATACTGAAGAGAAGAGAAGAGAGAAGAGGATCCAAATCTAAGGAATAGTTTGCATGCGGATGCGGTGATGTGTGGTCAAGCAAAAGCAAACAGAACTTGTTTCTGTCTCTGATTATGATTCAACCTCCAGCAAGCCCGCCATCTTCCCAACAGATTCTATAAACAAACACAGATTCAAACGTCAAAATTCAAAACCAAACCACCTCTCTCTCTCTCTCTCTCTCTCTCTCACACAAATAACAGTAGATCCAGATGTATAAACTCTCAAGTTTGAAAGCGAGCAGTAATTGGAGAGGAATATAAAAGCTGCTTCAGAAAAGCAAAAGAGTAGTTTTCTCTACCTTTCACCTTCTCCTAACTGGACTCAGTTATAGCAACAGTAACAAGAAAGAAGCAAAATTTCCCGAAAGGGGGTGGGGGAGAGATTGAGAGAGAGATTTGGTTAGATTGCATGAAAGTAGAAGGCGTGTAGGTGGTGGATCTGAAGGCCGTCGGGATTAACTCTAACAGTCATAAGAGAGTCGAATCAAATATAAGAACTTATCAGCAGAGCAATCACCAACAGCCCCTCCCCACTCGGTCGAGCCAGTCGCAAATTATTACACTATTAGTACGGCCTCAATCATTCCGCTATATTCATATTAACTAGTAAAAATACAATTATCATTCTCTATAATTTCATAATTTCATCCAATTTTATTTTTAATTTTTATAATTTTTTTAGTTTGTATAGCTTCAGAAAGATTTAATATCTCTTTATTTTTTAAATTTCTGTAATTTTAAATTTTTAAGTATTTTTAATACCTATAAAACTAAAAATACTAGAAAAACTAAAAATAAAATATGATGAACTATATGACTGGAAGACACTGAAAAAAAAGTACAAATTATGCTTATAAAGAATCATTTTTAAACTTTAAAAGAAGACACAGATAAGTTCTGAGTAAAACTTTCTGGAAAATATTCTCTTACATTAAAAATATAAGTATTTGTTTAAATTAATTTTGACCTAAATATTTGTAAAAAAATTATTTTTACTTCTTCTATTTATTAATTTCAACATCTCTTCGTTGTCCATTTTTTCCTCGGTACATTTTCATTATTTTTATATGCATGTTAACCTCTCTTGCTACATATGTTGTTTTAAATTCAAAGAGACAATATGGATAACTCGTTTCATTAAGAAAACATTCTTTGCTTCAAGTTTATATGTTGGAACCTAATCATCGATTAATAGAACAATAACAAACATATAAGTGAGTGGATATTCCCAGTTCTCTCTGAAGAAGAAAACTTGAGTTTCGACTTTTGACCATATATAGTTATATATTATGGCAGTTTTGTAATAAAAAATTAATAAATATATGTACTAAAATTAAATCCTTCAATAAACAGTTGAAGACATGGACGGGTCAGATGCGTAGAAGCTGCAGCACAAAACAAAGAGGGTGGCGCTTGCTTTCACTCCCTCCACTTAACTGGTTGAATCGTCATTTTATACTCATCTAGACTATAATATATGACATTAATTAATTATTTTACTATTATTATTAAAATCTTAATTTAAAAAAATTATATCTTTTCAATTATATTTTCATTACATATTCTATATAAGTGCCTTGATAATTACAATTGAAATTCTAATGTATCATTTTTTGTAAAAAAAAATTACTAAATAAAATAAGGGTCTATTTTGGAAAAAATAATTATAAAAATCAGCCAATATCTTATATTTTTTTTGTTATGCAAAATTTCTAGAAAATATTCCTTGTTGTCGTTCAGAAGCAATATAGTGTTTGGAGGATGTGATATTTCAACCATATTCTATGATAACCCTCATGCCTCTATTCTATAAGAAAATAAACACAGTGATGAAAAATTAGACGTCTATCTTATAGTCATGCAGTAGAGCATCTTTTTTTTTTAAAGAAAAGTAGGTTGTATATTTTATTTATTAATAATTATAAAAATAATTAAAAGGGGAATTAGAGAACCTTGGCAAGTATCCCAACCTCATTCCCACGGCACTATTTTAAATAATATCTTTTAATATATATATATATATATATATATAGCAAGAAAAAAGAACTCAGGCTCAATAATCGTATATTGACAGTATGGTATTTTATCATTCTCATAGGTATTTAAAGCAAAGGAAAATAAAATTAAACAACACATACAATTAATGGAAGCATACAGTGAGTGACATGGATCGGACATTGCCTCGAATCGTTGGATTCCTATAGGAAATGATGTGAGTCAAGCATATGACACATGTGAGATTCAAGAAAGGAGGAATTCATGATCCAAAAGTAAGTGTGAGAATCTTTGACTGAGTAAACTCTCACAATTAAAAAGTTTGGGCCAATTCAATCGCATGAGCCAATGCTATTCATATTAGTAGGCCATATATTCAATTAGAGATAACATGAAAATGTAAGGAGGTACATTGATCATGTTTGACATAAATTGTATTGTTGCATGCTTGAGTGATTTGATTGATGATTTCAAATATGCCAACTTTGTTTGCTCATAGATCATACCTCTTGTATGTGCTAGAATTTGGTTATTTAGTTACTAAAGTTTTTATCTCACCTCATAGTTTAACATTGTATATTGGATGATCCATGTAGGACGGGAAGGTGAACCCTCCGAAGCTAGAGACACTTGACTTGATATTATAATGTCTCTAGTTAGTTATGAGTGTAATTAAGTCATATGTGACAACTAGGATTTGATTATTCATTTGCATTTTGGTAAATACATATGTATTATCATATTGGGTCTTGGCCATTGTGGGGATTATTCTCAAGTTTGGATATTTGTTGGGGCCAAGATGTTCATGCAATTGTATTATAATGTTTAATACGTGATTTGTAATCTTTGAAAGCTAAGGTTATGAGTAGAATTATCACGAAATCAGGTGTCTTCACCCTCTTTATGGATTGGGCAATTGGGGGTCATTTTGATATATATGATGTTTTCAAAATGTTTGAAATGATGCATTGACATTGTCTACTGAATGTGATTCAAAACTCAATTGGGAAAAATGGCTTGTTAGTAGAGATTTGGACACTAAATTCATATCTGAAAGTAGAGAAGTACGTGAAATGGCCCTAAGTGCCCAAATTATTTGTATGATATTGGATTGAAGTGAAACCAAAGTTATTAGCTAGTTTATGAAATTTTATACATATGAGTGCTTAAATTACTTGAATCAAACATCAGAGTAAAAAGTTGTGCATGGTGTAAGTTTAATCTAGAGTTTTGTCATAACACTTGCTATCACACATGCACCACGATAGATTGCAAGTTAGCCTTAACACATGACATTATGAGTGTCAGCAGCAGTGTATGGCAACATTGGCCGTGACAAATCTTCTATGTAACAAATGTCACGACGCATTGTACATTAGCCATAGTGGATTGTGTCTATTTAACTCCATTTTGACTTGTTTTTAACTCCAGATGATTTCCATACTTCCCAATTATCTAGTACTCTGATTTATAAGTGTTTAAATGACATTTTAAATTGGTTTTGAGTTGAATGACTTTGAGATCCCATTGTCTTAGTGATTTTCCTCTTGTGAAGTCAATTTGAATCCTTTCTACTATAATAGACCTTTAAACATAAATTTAGATTTTAATCACACTAATCATCATTAATTATTATCCAACTAGTTTAGGGGTTCAGACTTGACTACCCCATTGCTATAATTATCATTAAAACTACCTAAATAATACTTAGTTATCCTCAAAACACCCTCAGAATATTCGAACCTATATGCTACGCGTCATCGAAAATGAAACCCTAACACTAACCATTACTTAAACTAGCTAAAAGAAGATATTAGAGTGTAGAAGAGAGATCAAGAAGGGTTATCTTAGTGATTGGAGGTTGAAAAACATGTACAATAATTGCTTTTGATGAAACCCTAGCAGAGCCAACAAATTTCGCTCATCACCCTTCTATTTCTCTTTCCCTAGTTCAATTTTTTAAGAAAAAAATAAAAGATGAAATCGCACCATGCGTTATGGTAGATGTGTTGTGCATCGTGGCACATGGTACATTTGCGAACTGCACGCTTAAGCCTAATAATTTGAACCCAAATCGAACTCAAACCCATTTTGAACCTCAAAGAACCCTTATATATGATCTTGGGCCCAATTTCAATCATAACCAAGTGCTTACAATAATTAATCAACCCAATAAACATCAATTATAATTAATTCTAACAATAATTGTATTTTAAACCCTCAATTTAAAAATTAAGATGTTATAAGGGCACTTTCCCATCCTCAACAATATGTAGGTTTGTATATAATTATATTGTTTTTAAAATTCCAATATGGATAAATCATTTTGTTAAAAAAAATATTCTTAGCTTCAATTTTATATTTCGCAACCAAATCATCAATTAATATAACAATAATAAATATATACTTCCCCTGATCCTATTTATAGGTCATTTCCAGCATGTTTCATTAAATTGAAGAAAATATTAAATCTCATTCACTACGTTTTAGAATTTAGAGTTAAGGGGAAAAAAGCGTAAGAATAATGTTAAATTTTTATAATTTTTTATAAATTTACTGTCTAGATATACTCTAGATAATGCATATTTAATATTAAAAATTTATATGATTTTTTATAAATTTTTAATATTAAATTGGAATCATTTGTATTGAATCTAAATTATTTAGACTAGTGAACAGATTTATTAAATTATTTTATAAATTTGGATCATCTATATTAAACCTGAAATGTCTACACTAGTGATTAGATTTATTAATTTTTTTATAAATTTAAATCATTTATATTAAACTGAAAGTATTCAGATTGGTTATTAGCTTTTGAAATTTTTTTAAAAAGTATAAAAGAAAAAAGAATAAATCTGGACCCAGATTTTCTTCCCAAACGCAGCGGAGGTACAAAGAGGCAGAGGAGGCAAGCCAAGTTCAGCTTTCGGTGGCTTCAACTGCCATGGCAAAGTGAGAAAAAAATAATATGGGCTTGTTTCTGTAGATAGAAAAGAAAAAATTATGTCCAGAGGTGAGGAAAAAATGCTTGCTGATTTGATTCCAGCGCTTCTGGTCCCATATAATGGGGAAAGATATTTTATTTGTCATCCACGGTCAAGATTTCTTCAAGAAACTAATGGCTTAAATTGCTTTCCTCAAAAGTACGTCGTTCCATGAAATAAAAATTTCAACTGTTGGATCACATGAGATAAAATGGACGGTGGAGATCTGCATCAAGTCACGGAGGCACCAGCCAGGAGAACAGAGACAAATCAGGTGGTGGGGTCTGCTTTCACTCTCTCCACTTAATTGGTTGAATTTTGTCCTTTTAAATGTTATTTGGAGGATGCGATATTTCAACCTTCTATGCCCTCCCTCTGTATAATGCCTCATTTTTATTCTCAATGATGAAAAATTACACATTGGAGCCTTATATAGTCATCCAATGAAGCATCTTTTATTTTTTTTTTTTAAGTTGTTATAGAGCAGAAATGAGATCTCTTAGAGTTAATGAGGACCAAACAATTGCACAATTACATCACCACAAGATTTTGGGATATTT